CTTCATGTCTGTGATTGCGTGACCAGAGAGACTGAAGTGTTCTCCGACTGGTTTATGAATGTTATAATTCTTGACATCTGATTTGTGTCCATTTATTCTTTTACGTAAAGACTGTCCAGTTTGACCAATGTACATGGCAGAGGGGCATTGCTGGCACATGATGGCATATATCACATTGGTGGATGTGCAGGTGAACGAGCCTCTGATAGTGTGGCTGATGTTATTAGGCCCTGTGATGGTGTCCCCTGAATAGATATGTGGGCACAATTGGCAACGGGCTTTGTTGCAAGGATAAGTTCCTGGGTTAGTGGTTCTGTTGTGTGGTATGTGGTTGTTGGTGAGTATTTGCTTCAGGTTGCGGGGCTGTCTGTAGGCAAGGATTGGCCTGTCTCCCAAGACTTGTGAGAGTGTTGGGTCATCCTTTAGGATAGGTTGTAGATCCTTAATAATGCGTTGGAGGGGTTTTAGTTGGGGGCTGAAGGTGATGGCTAGTGGCGTTCTGTTATTTTCTTTGTTAGGCCTGTCCTGTAGTATGTAACTTCTGGGAACTCTTCTGGCTCTATCAATCTGTTTCTTTACTTCTGCAGGTGGGTATTGTAGTTGTAAGAAAGCTTGACAGAGATCTTGTAGGTGTTTGTCTCTGTCTGAGGGGTTGGAGCAAATGCGGTTGTATAGTCCCAGGATTGGCAGGATGCAAATCCACTTTTCCATACATCTGTTGTGAGCTGTGCCAAGTTTTTGAATTTAGCAAATTGGTTTTCACTGCAGCATTTTTTAACCCTCTCAGTCATATGAAAACCTTTTCTCCTTCTTCAGATTCTGAGTCCTCCTGATGACAATCCCTTAGCTGACGTTAGCTTCCTTGATGAAGTGCTGGAATCTTGTGGGGCTCCGCTGAATATTTCGGTGCTGGGAATGTAGGTAAGTCCATAGAATAAAGCTTCAGAACACTAGAAGCCCACTTTTAAAAGTGGCAGATACATTTTGGCAGTTTTGATACAGGTCAGTATCCTGGTTCCGCTCTGCACCATCTGACAGCTCTCCCCACCCTGCCTTATGTATCTATTACAATGGCACCCAGCCACTCCATCTAGGATTGAGGACCCCACTGTAGTAGGCCCTGTAAGAGAGAGTCCTTGTCTCTAAAGAGCTTGGTGGATAGTAAGCTATGTAAATTCCACCCAACCAAGTGCTGTGTTTGAAGGAAAGGGTATATTTACCCCACTTAAATTAATCAGATGTAATGTGCTTTTGTCGCTTTAAAGGAGCAATGAACCTTATTATTTCTCTGAGCTGTCCAGGAGAGGGCAGCACACATGGTTTTGGGGAAATTCAGAACTGGGAGTATGTTCGGGTCACCTGGCTGACTGTAAGCAAGGCTAGTGGAATCCAGAATGGGGCTGCAGAGAGGCTGCTGGGGTAAGAGCTGCTGAAGCACACAGGGAGTGACTTGCATGCTTGTAAGCAGGTTCTGAGTGTCCCATGCTGGGAGCTACAGCAGCAAAGCATTGTAAGGGTTACAGGATAGGTGTTGATAACCCCTCCCTGGTCTGGATTGCACCGCATACCCCGTGACACATGACTATCCAGGAGACATATGGTACCCAGTGCTCGGCGCTCCGGATTCATACAGGAATCTCAACCAGCCCTCTCTCCTCCTAGCTGACACTAGCTGGCTCCATTAGAGCACACAGAGGAAGAAATTGAACTGGATTTACCAGTGCCGACAGTTCCGATGGGCATGTCATCCTCATCACCCAATGAGGCAATCACCCCATCCCTGCCTGATGACCACAGGCAATACCAAGAGCTCTTGCAGAGGGTGTTGACTGAACTCTAGAGCCCACGCAAGGACATCCATGCTTTGCAGAGAGGCTCCTGCACATCTTGCGGCCTTCTTGTCGCAGCCAGGTGGCCCTCCCAGTAAATAAGGTCATCATTGCACCAGCCAGGACAGTAGGACACACATTTGCTAACTGTGCCCCCTGTCCTCAAAGAGGGCTGAGGTGTGATGATACTTTTTACCAGATAAAAAGTCAGAGTCTGTTTACTCCCGCTGCATCCCACTCCCTAGTAGGGCAAACAGCCACAGAGAGATCCAGGCTACAGCACCCCCAAGGAAACCCCTGCAGACAAAGGCACTAAATGCCTAGACTTCCTAGGGAGGAAGGTATTTTCATCCACCAGCCTTCAGTTTAGTATTGCTAACTAACAGGACTGTTAGCAAAATATGATTTTACAAACTATTCCAAAGTCCTAGAGCTCAAAGACAAACTCCCTTAGGAGGACAGGGCCCAATGGCAAACTGGTAGCCATGACCTCTCTTCAAGCTGCAATGGATGTGGCTGATAACATGTCTAGAGGTATATAGCTGAGGCCAGTAGCAGATTAGGCATGGGGGGAGTGGGCAGGCTGAGTGGGGCAAGCCCCCACGCCCTGACCCATTTCCCCAACAGGAATGCCGGGGAAGAGGGGGACTGGTGGCAGAAGAGGTGGAGAGGGGCCTCCACTTGCTCTGGCCCGGAGCCCCACAAAACCCTAATCCGCCCTTGACTATGGCAATAGTTATGAGGTGTGAATCTTGGCTTCACTCTCCCATGTTTCCCAGGGAGGTGTAAAGTACCATAGAGGCCTTGCCCTTTGACAAGTCTAATCGCTTCAGTGAGAAGACTGATGAGTAGCTACACGCACTAAAAGACTCCAAGACAATTCTCTGCTGTTTGGGCGTTCATACCCCAGTTCCAAAGAGAATACATCACGAACAGGTGTATAAATCAAGACCTCTTCCTCAGCCATTCTACCACCTGCGCCCTTATGAACCAGTGCACAAACACCATAGGGTACCAAGAACTAGGTTTGCAGCTCTCTCAGCTGGAGCTGCTAAACCCCATTCACCAACCAGCTTTTGCCAGGATGCCAGAGAACCCTCATGCATGGCATCTCTTTCTGTCTCCCAAACCTTTTGTGGCCGCTTCGCCTTTTTCCCCACAACTAGAGGACATTAACAACAGACAGGTGAATACTAGATATCGTCTATTCTGGTTACATCAAGTGCCTCTCACAGCCCCTCTTCAAAGACCACTCTCATGAAGAAATCTTCCCTCAGGAGATGGACTCTATCCTTTGGTAAGAGGCTATAGAGAAAGTACCACCCCAACTTCAAGGAAAAGGGGTCTGTTCCCCATAGTTCCTAGGAAAAAGAGGATTGAGACCCATTCTTGACTTTTCAGCTAAATATCTTTATGCACAAATCAAAATTCCACATGGTTACTGTCGCATTCCAAGTGCGATCCAATCCTGTGAGGCATTGTGTCACCAACTGCCTTGCAACCTTGGGTGCCTCATACTGCTTTGCAGTTGTAGCCCCCAAGCTGGGCTGCTTGCAAACAGCATGCAGGTCACAGCCTGAGTGTCTGTGTATAGCTACAGGCCTGGTCCAGCAGCCTGCCTGCACCACACCAGCCCTGGTTACTACCTTCAGGGTAACCCTAACACCCTCCCAAATTTTCCCTCAAATGTGTGTCCTGCACTGTCCAGCCTTCTCCTGGGCTGTTCAGATATTATAGGTCCATTCCACATTTAAGGGGTCAATATGCAACACTTTTAACTGGAATTACCCCAAAAGTTCAGTTTAAACACAACAATGGATTAGTTTAGATTAAAAAAATAAAACAAGTTTATTTAACTACAGAGGGATAGATTCTAAGTGAGTACAAGTATAAGATATTAAAGTCAGATATGGTTACAAGAGAAAAAGATAAAATAGTTTCTAGTTGCTAAAGCTTAAACTAAACTTGGTTCAAGGTAAAATCCTTACATGTTCCCAGCAATGTTGCTGACCAATTCACATGTTAGGATCCCTTCCAAAGTCAAAAGGCTGGTTCCTTTGTTGTCTTAGGTGAAAGAGAGAGAAAGAAAGATAACCTGGGGTGTTTTTGCCTCTCACTTTTATAGTCCAGTCACCCTTCGAAATGCATCTTCCTGAAGGTTAGCCCTAGATCAGTGGTTCCCAAACTTGTTCCGCCGCTTGTGCAGGGAAAGCCCCTGGGTGGGCCAGGCCGGTTTGTTTATCTGCTGCATCCGCAGGTTCGGCCGATCGCGGCTCCCAGTGGCCGCGGTTCACTGGACCCTGTTTACACCTCAACTTACATCTAACAAATTTCTTTGTTTAGGATAGACCTGTTTAACAACTTATGTCTAGTCAGGGCTATGTGGGTTTGAACATGTGCGATCAAAATCATCATACACAGGAAATTCATAACTTTATATATATAATGTTGCTACATACATGCCACCATGATGTTATTAACCAGTGAGGAGTTAGTTTTCAAATGATATCTTACAAGGCACATTTTGTACAAAGATTACTACAGTAATGTGTAGGGTTCATATACAGGGGTGCATCTGGTTACAGTTGTATTGGCTTCAGTTATTCTACTCCCTGGAGAGGTGTATATGATTTGTGGTTCTCGACTTGAAAGATGCTTACTTTCATGTTAACATTAACCCGTCCTACAGAAGGTTCTTCAAATTTCTGTTAGGACAAGACCACCACCACTTCAGAGTACTTCCATTCGGCCTGGTAACAGCACCCAGGGTCTTCATAAAGAATAGGTCACGTGGGTGACCGTCTCCTGGCAGTTTCACTGTATGTTGTGTGAAGCAGTACTTGTTAATGTTTGTTTTAAATCTGCCACGCATGACAATTCATGGGGTGACCCCTGGTTCTTGTGTTATGTTAAGGGGTAAATAACGCTTCCTTAGTCGCTTCGCTTTAAGCTGGTAAGCCCCAGCCTTTTTTATCTTTGCCTTTCTCGGTACTTTTCCCCCCGCCATGTGTTCAAAGCACCATGTGTCCTTCCTAGCCCCCATCACATCAGCCAGAAGAGTGCGTAACCTGGGCACACTCACAGCTGACCTGCCTTACTCCACATTTCATAAGAAGGTTCCCCTTCATCTCCATGGTAATTTCTGAATTTCACATGAACCTATTCTCTTACCGGTGTTCTTTCCAAAACATCTTGCTTTCCATGAGAAGAGGAGACTTCATTCTCTCAACATCAGATGGGCTTTAGCATTAGGTCTGCAAAGAATGAAATCAATTAGGAGAATATGCCGCCCTAGACTATTTACTGCTATAGCAGAATGATCATGAGGTCAAGCATTACCTGCTCACTGACTGAGTGGATCTCCACCGTATCATGCTTTATTAGTTGGTGTGTATTCCTCCCCTGGAGGGGTGAGGGCCCATTCCACTCGAGCATAGGCAACCTCAATAGCATCTCTCTGCTTTCAAAAATATCTGGACATTTGTAAGATCTGGAGTTCCAGCCATACTTTCATGAAATACTGCACCTTAGTCCAGGCCTTGTCTGCAGATGCAGCTGATGAGACAGCAGCATTACAGACATCTATACCAACTGCATTCTTCCACCCCATTTCTGTTTGAATACACACAGGAACCTGCACTTGGAGAAGAAATGGAAGTTGCTTACTGGAGGTTCTTTGAGATGTGTGGTCCTTATCTGTAGTGCACTATCTACCCTTCTTCTCCTCTGCTGTGGGATAAAAGGAGTAACTGGAGAGGCATTGGTCTACACCAGGGATCGGCAACCTTTGGCACACGGCCCGCCAGGGTCGGGCTGGGCCGGTTTGTTTACCTGCCGCATCCTCAGATTTGGCCGATCGCGGCTTTCACTGGCCGTGGGTCGCTGCTCGAGGCCAATGGGGGCTGCGGGAAGTGGCGGCCAGCACATCCCTCGGCCTGCACCGCTTCCCGCAGCCCCCATTGGCCTAGAACGGCAACCCACGGCCAGTGAAAGCCGCGATCGGCCGAATCTGAGGATGCGGCAGGTAAACAAACCGGCCCGGCCCGCCAGGGGGCTTACCCTGGTGGGTCGTGTGCCAAAGGTTGCCGATCGCTGGTCTACACTGCCACTTTATACTTATGGTACACAGCATGAGGGGAGAAACTGCATTGGTGCAGACCAATACATACTACTTGCTAGAAAACTCTGGTCTCAGGCACATGTACCACATATGTATCCATGTGTGGAATACAGAAGGACCCTCCCTTACAGGTAGATAACCTCCACTGAACAAAAAATACAACTGGGAATACATTTTCCATTGCAGTGCCTGAGGAATCATGTAAGACTCCTGCAAATAATGAAATCTGGGTACATGCCCCCTCCAGAGCTATGAAAATTCAGCTGCTCTGTTTTACCCAGTAGAGGAATGAAATGCTTAGATGCTCACTTTCACATCTCTGAATAATTAAACTTGCCATATTCTCCAACTTTTAAAGAAAAACTTTTGAAAATATCTGATTTACCCACAATATATATGTGATAACTTATTAATAGAAGAAGAAAATATTTTGCATTCACATATTCATTTTTAAATAAAGTTTAGAATAAGAGGCATTTAGAATTATTTAGCTAAAATAATGGATTCAGATTCATTAAATTGATATTCTTTGTTTGGCTGCTGGAATACATAACTGCTAAGAAAGCTACAGGAATTCTCCCTGGTAATGAATAATTAAAGGCAAGGCAGTAACTTAACTGGAATGGTATGGCAGCAGTGCCTTGTACTGGTATGCATGAAGCCTGGGATTGAGAATTATCTTCAGGCTCTCATTATTCATGGTTACTGAACTTGGACTCCAGTTGCATAGTTTCTTATGCTGGCGACTATAGCTGAGCAGGAAATGGTTATCCCATTATGCAAAAGTCTGGATATTTTTCCTGTCCCAAATCAGAATGAAAAAATTGAAATCTCAAAAAATTTAACGAACCAAAGATCTGGGGGGAGGATGGGAGTCAGTTTGGATCAAAGTTTCATTTTAATAATGTCAAAATGTTTTTCAATTTAAACTGCGGTTGTCAAGCAATTAAAAAATTAATCGCGATTAATCGTGCGATTTAAAAAAACTAATCGCAATTAATTGTGCTGTTAAATAAAATACAATTTTTAAAAATATTTTTGGATGTTTTCTACATTTTCAAATAGATTGATTTAAATTACAACACAGAGTACAAAGTGTACAGTGCTCACTTTATATTTATTTTTGATTAAAAGTGCACAACCATATTAGCACTGTAAAAAAACAAAATAAATAGTATTTTTCAATTCACCTAATACAAATACTGTAGCGCAATCTGTATATTATGAAATCTCAACTTACAAATACAGAATTATGTACAAAAGACTGCATTCAAAAATAAAACAATGTAAAATTTTAGAGTCTGCAAGTCCACTCAGTCCTACTTCTTGTTCAGCCAATCACTCAAACAAGTTTGTTTACATTTGCAGGAGATAATGCTGCCCACTTCTTGCTTACAATGTCACCTGAAAGTGAGAACACGTGTTCTCATGGCACTGCTGTAGCCAGCGTCACAAGATATTTACATGCCAGATGCACTAAAGATTCACATGTCCCTTCATGCTTCAACCACCATTTCAGGGGACATGCATCCGTGCTGATGATGGGTTCTGCTTGATAACAATCCAAAGCAGTGCAGACCAACGCATGTTCGTTTTCATTATCTGAACAACATGTGCTGGGTCATCATCCGAGACTGCTATATCATGAAATATATGGCAGAATGTGGGTAAAACAGAGCAGGGGACATACAATACTCTGCCAAGGAGTTCAGTCACAAATTTAATGAACGCAATATTTTTTTAACGAGCGTCATCAGCATGAAAGCATGTCCTCTGGAATGAGTGGCCGAAGCATGAAGGGGCATACGAATGTTTAGTTTATCTGGCACGTAAATACCTTACAATGCTGGCTACAAAAGTGCCATACAAATACCTGTTTTCACTTTCTGGTGATATTGTAAATAAGAAGAGGGCAGCATTATCTCCTGTAAATGTAAACAATCGTGTTAGTCTTAGAGATTGGCTGAATGAGAAGTAGGACTGAGTGGACTTGTAGGCTCTGAAGTTTTACACTGTTTTGTTTTTGAGTGCAGTTATGCAACAAAAAAAATACATTTGTAAGTTGCACTTTCACGATAAAGAGATTGCACCATAGTACTAGTATGAGGTGAATTGAAAAATAGGATTTCTTTTGTTTATGATTTTTACAGTGCAAATATTTGTAATAAAAAATGTACACTTTGATTTCAATTACAACACAGAATACAATGTATATGAAAATATAGAAAAACACCCAAAATATTTAATAAATTTCAATTGGTATTCTGTTATTTAAAAGTGTGATTAATTTTTGTGAGTTAACTGCGATTGACCGCCCTAATTTAAAACTGTTGCATTTTGTTTAAAAGTTGAACTATAATTTAGCTTACATTTCAAAATCAAAATGTCAAAAGTCCCAATGACAATTTTGAAGTTTATTTCAACATTTTTCAAGTTTTTCAATATCAACTGATATTGCCTATAAAATTTGAGCAAATTCCCCATTATATCAACAGACTTTTGTTTACAGCACTAAATAACATTGTTTTTGATTATAATAAAATATTGCTAGCTCTAATAAAGAAGGTGTGTCATTTACGCCACTTAATTACCTTTCAGTGCAAAAGGAAAGCAGCTTAGAACACAAAGTTGTTTAAAGATGAAATTTCACTACAGAAATCTTCTGTGATTTATTATTGTTATATTCTGTCTGTTTTTAATTATCTTTAAAAAAAAGAGTTGTGTTTGTGGTTGCATTACATCAAAACACAAACATGGTTGGAGACTCATTAACTTGGCGAATTTAAGTGGATTTTCACAAGACAGTGTAAGGCACATCTATGATATTATAGTGACACCCGCCCCTTCCCCCTCTCCCCCCTTATTGTGGAGGCTTCACAATAAATGATTTTAAGAATATTTTAACATGGGAAAACCATTTTCCCCTAACTTTGATCTGAAGAACTATTGTAGTTGAAGCTTTCAAAAATAAATTCAGCCTGAGGCAGACAATGGGTATGGAAAACTTCAGCCCAGACAGTTAAAATTGGCAAAGTTGTAAGTAATTGGAAGCAGGGTCTTATAATGCACTGGCTCTCAACCTTTCCAGACTACTGTGCCCCTTTCAAGAGTCTGATTTGTCTTTACATTCCTCCAGGTTTCACCTCACTTAAAAACTATTTGCTTACTAAATCAAAATACAAAAGGGTCACAGCACACTATTACTGAAAAATTGCTTACGTCCCCTGGTTGAGGACCACTGTTATAATGGAAAGCATTGGGCAATCATAACTGTAGGCATCACTACCAGCGTTGCCGATAATTCTTCAGTGTAAAATTACTAGCCAACCCATTTCCTATCTTCCTGCATCAAACCTTGTATCATCATATTTTCTTGGACAACAATGCAAGATTCACTAGTAACAGCAAATAGAGACAATTACTAGTATAAATAGGCTGAAAAAAGAAATTTTAAAATTAATGGGGAATAAATCATAATTTCAGATTAATTGTATTTGCTTGGATGTCACTGAACATCTGTTGTCTATCTCCAAACTCCGTAGACACCAACATAACATTCATCCTCTCCTTCCTTCTGATTACATTGTTCTTATTTGCCCATGATGAGGACTATTCACTGAGGTGACTCATAATTAAGGCTGCGAGTGTGTCACAGATTCTGTGACTTTCCGGGACCTCCGGGACTTCTGCAGTGACTGGTACGACTGACCCCAGGGCTGCCCGAGCAGCTCAGGAGGCCCCCGAGCCAGCTGTGCTGGCCACTTCTGGGGCAGTCTTGGGCTACCAGGCCCCCCCAGAGCACCAGCAGCAGTCCCGGGCCTCGCACACCCGCCCCCGAGCACCAGCAGTGGTCCCAGGCCGACCCTTGCCCTAGAGCTCCCCCATCCCTCAGAGATTTAGTCAGGGGTATATAGTACAAGTCTTGGACAGGTCATGGGCTGTGAATTTTTGTTTACTGCCCGTGACCTGTCCATGACTTTTACTTAAAATACGTGTCACTAAAATGTAACCTTACTCATAACAGAAACAAATCTGAACCTTTGTGTGACTTGGTGCCTGGACGCACTAATCAGCTATGTAGTTTTACGCATCAGTTTAAGTAGAAAGGAAAAGACAAATCAAAGTAAGTATCTC